GCTAAAATAGAAATCCTGAAAATCAAGAGACATTAACAAAATTGAAAGCAAAAAACTGATAATCTAATGAAACAGATTAATAATCACAAAAATATAAATTGTGAATTAAAAGGACAGGAAAAAGTACTTAAATAAACCTATCTTAGAAGAAGAAGCAAAAAAGCCATAAATAAGATACTTCACCAAGAAACTACCAGAACCAGGTAATCTTACAAGCAGATTCTACCAAATATTTAACAATTAATTCCAATATGAAAATACAAATTGCCCAAATTAACAGAACAAGAAATAGAATACTTAAATAGCCCTCTTAGAAAAACAAACAAGCCATAAATGAAACTCCAAAGAAAAAAAGCCTAAGACAATATGGATTTAAAAGCAAATTCTACTAAACATTTAAAGACCAGTTAATTCCAACACTCCATAAACTGGGGGAAAAAAAACAAAACAGGAAAAGAAAGAGTTCTACTAAATTCTTTCTATGACATAAATATGGTCTTGACACCTAATTCAGGGAGAGTCAACACAGAAAAAGAAAAACAGTAGACCAATTTCCCTAATGTGTATTTATGCAAAAATTTTTAATTAAATATTAGCAAGGAAAGGAGTGTAGTCTATCACAAAGATTATATATATTATGACAAAGCTAGATTTATACTAGGAATTATTGGGAAAACTAATTAACCAAAAAATAAAAAATAAATTATATGATTTTATCAATAGATGTAAAAAAAGTTGTGACAAAATAAAATTCCTGTTAACAACACTAGAAAAGGATAGAAATAGAGCTTTCCTTAAAATCCTTAAAATGACAAGTAATGTCCAGCTAAAACCAAGAGCCAGAATTATCTGTAATGAGGATATACTAGAGGCCTTACCAGTACGATTAGAAGTAAAGCAAAGGTATGCACTATCACCATTACTATTCAAAATATTGTGCTACAAATGCTAGCTATAGCAATAATACTAAAAAAAGAAATTGGAAGAATAAGCATAGCCAATGAGGCAACAAAATTATTGCTTCTTGCAGCTGATAAAATGGTTTACGTAGAGATGCCTAGCTAGTCAACTACAAAACTAAATTAAATAATTAACAACTTCAGTTAAGTTACAGATTATAAAACAAACCACACAAATCCAAGAGAAATTACATTTAAATTACACACACAGTATAAAATACTTGGGAGTCAATATGTCAAAACACACACAGGAACAATATGAACACAATTACAAAACACTCTTTAAACAAATAAAAACAGATCTAAATAATTGAAGAAATAGAAATTGCTCCTGGGCAGGCCAAGACAATTAAAAAAATAGCTACTATCTCTTAGTTTACTTATTCAGACCCATACCAAACAAACTACCAAAGGATTACTTTACAGAACTAGGAAAAAAATGACAAAATTCATCTAAAGGAACAACTGAGCAAGAATGCAGGGAGGGGACAAGTCATTTATATATTCAGAAACTGTACTAAGCATTAGTGTTATCTTTATTTGATCCTCACAATACTGTGAGGTAGTTGCTATTATCCTCATTTTACAGTTGAGGAAACTGAGACAAACAGAAGTCAAGTGACCTGCTGAGAATCACACAGCTGGCAAGTGTCTGAGGCCATATTTATACTCAAGTCTTTTTGATTCCAAGTCCAGTGCTCTATCCACTTTGCCACCTAACTACCTCCATTATCTCTCTAATGAGATGACATAATAAAAAGAATATCAAGCAGATTAAAGAAAAAAAGAAGGGAAGGAAGGGAACCTAGCAGAACCAACCTACAAACTATAATACAAAGCCATAACCATCAAAATAATTTGGGTAAGAAATAGAGTGGTTTGATCAGTAGAACAGATTAGGTACATGATATACAGAAGCAAACACACACAGTAGCTTAGTGTTTGAAAAACCCAAAGATATCAGCTATTGGGCAAGAATTCACTATTCAACAAAAACTGCCGGGAAAACTAGAAAACAGTCTGACAGTAACTAACTATATACCAACATTTCATAACACACAAAAAGATAAATTCCAAATGAGTACATAATTTAGACATAAAGGCTGCCATCATAAACTCATTAAAGGGGCATAGAAGAAATTAACCTTCAGATCTATGGTTAGGGGAAGAGTTCATACCCAAACAAGAGACAGAGAGGTTCACAGGAGATAAAAAGGAGAATTTTAATTACATAAACTTAAAAAGTTCTTGCACAAACAAAACCACTACAGCTAAAACTAGAACAGAAGCAGGAAATTGGGGGGTGGAGGGGAAGGGAGATTGGCAATAACTTTCCCTGAAAGGTGTCATTTCTAAAATACATAGAGAACTTAGATTTAGCAGAAAAAGAGCCATTACCCAACCGATAAAGGGTCAAAGGAGACGAATACGTGATTTTTCAGAGGAAGAAATTCACACTATCAATAGCCATATGAAGAAAAAGTTCTAAATCAGAGATGTCAAACACATAGTCTAAAATACAGCCTGAATGTGGTGGCAAGAACCAGAAATTAAGGGGATTCCCATCAATTGGGGAATGGCTAAACAAGTTGTGGTATATGATTGGATGGAACACTACTGTGCTATAAGAAATGATGAACAGGTTGATTTTAGAAAAACATGGAAAGATTTGCTTGAAATAATGAAAAATGAAATGAACAGAACCAAGAAAATGCCGTATAAAGTAACAGCAATATTGCTCAAAGAGTAACTGTGAACTAAGTTATTCTTAGTATTATAAATACTGAAATCAACTACAGAGAACCTATGAAGGAAGATGCTATGAAAGAACTGATAAATAGAAGTATGTATAGTTCAGTTTTACATACATATATACGAGAGAGAAAGAGAGAGAGAAATGATGGCCTTCTCTAGTGAAGCCACAGGTAGGGAGAGAGGGAGGGAATAAGTTCAGAAACTAAAAAGTAACTCAAAAAATTTTTAATTTAATTTAAAAAAATGAAATAAAATGCAGCCTGCAACACTTCCGAGTGGCCCCAACCACAGTATAAGCAGTTGAAAAATGAGAGAGAAATAAAGAAGTGAAGCTAACTAATAAAGGTGGCACTTTGTTTTGTTTTTAAAGAAATCTGGTTTGAAAGGGAGTAGTGATGTAAGATGACAGCTTGAGGGGTGGAAGCGTTAAGCAAAGCTTTCTTAAAGATAAGTGAGATCTGGGAATGTTTATATGTAGTACAGAAGGAAACAGGAGATGAGGAAATCATTTGGTAGACTACAATGGCTGCAAAGTGTAGATAGACAGACGGAAAGATAGATATCTACGTATCTACGTATATCTACATATATTCATATATACATACACATATATACAGAAGTCTGGTACGACTCTTCTGCCAGTAATCCTAACCCAAAAGAATAGATTTTATTTGAATAGACCCCTTTGGAGTTCAAAGGGATCTTAAAAGATCATCTAGTTCAACTTCTTTAATATTACTGATAGCAAAAGTGAAGTCCTGGATAAACTGATCACAAAGCAAATTAGTAGCAGATCCTAGAGGAGATAACACATCTCCTAATTCCACAGTATTCCCAGTACTAGTTTCAAGGAGTTGAGGTTGACAATAAAAGAAAGCTAGAATAAAAAATTATGTGGTGGCAAATTACCTGACCTCTCTGTACCTCCCAGCCACTCTCTAAGTCCCAATATTACAAAGCAGATGTCTGTCTATATTTGTAAAGAGTTTCCTAAATAGGAGTTCCCTATGCAAATGAAATGACAAGTTCAGTCCAAAACAAAACAAACAAATAAAAAATCTGGGAACCTATTCAAAATCCATTTATGGAAAGGACAGTAACTTTATAGGAAGTCAAATTGATCCTGTGTGACCACCACCAATTCAGCCGCTTGAGAGAAAAAGCAGACCTTCATAAAAATCAGATGCTTTATCTTAGCTTAGAACACTCAGATGAACTTAAGATATCCAGAAGTTGGCTGCTATGGGTCTAGCTAAAGTGGAGATCTTGACACAGAGGCTGAGTTAGGAAAGTTGCACAACAAATTCCTGTTCAGGATTTGCACCACTCAAAACATTTACTTCCATCTACACCTCTTCAAAAGGAAACATTTTTATTTTATTTAGTAACAAGTTCCAGTTAGCAATACTGATCCAGATGACAGATGATACAATATATCCTCAGTAAAAGTGGGGAACTAGAAATGCCCAACTTTGCATATGCTATCAGATTCTGTTGCTGAATGAGTTGGTTTTGCTTAACTCCCTTTGTTATGAGGGAGGGTCTCTGGGATGGGAAGACAATACTGAGAAATGACAGTGGTGCAAGAAAACTTTAAATAAAACCTGATCAATAAAACTTAAAACAAGAAAAATTCCAGTTAGATAAGTTTCTTGAATGTTCAAGCAGAACCACTACCTCACATAGCCTAAGAAAGTAAAATGTCAGATTCTTTTGCTTTTCAGTAACCACTTCAAAATTTTTCATTGTTCTTTAACTACAGTCAGTCTCTCCATTCTACTCTGAAAGATGCTCTTCCACTACTGTGAACTTTATCCATGTTTAATCTGTCACACACATTTACTCATTACAGTTATTTTGCAGAAACCACTCCTCTCTATTCTTTTGAATTAAAAAAAGGCATTCTAGGGGCAGCTAGGTGGCGCAGTGGATATAGCACTGACCTTGAAGTCAGGAAAATATGAGTTCAAATCCAGCATCAGACCAGACACTTGACACTTACTAGCAGTGTGACCCTGGGCAAGTCACTTACACCCAATTGCCTCACCAAATTTAAAAAAAAAAAAAAAAAGGCAGTCTGAAATGTACCAAGGTGACCTTGCATATGGTAACAATTTATGTCAGCTAAGAAACTATTCCTTTACCATAAAGTAAAAAAAATATATCCATTAACAGAAAGTAGATGGGAAAATTTCTTATTTACCTGTGAGCCTATTAGTCGTGTAATATATTTGAGGCCTTTTTAAAGTCATAAAAATAACTAAATATATTTAGAAACATACTTACCAGGATGATTAGAAATGGGAGGCTGGAATGCAATCTCATTGTGAACTGGCCCTAGAGAAACAATAACAAAATTTCAACACCATTAATTCCTGTATAGTCTAAAACTTTGAATAATCCTTTTCTTGTGTACAACTCATTGACCTTCTAAAGATATTTAGTGCATCATCTGAGCTAATGACGTATTTCCAAGAACTGAATTTGTTTTATTATTGAGTAAATATTTTAAGAGATTTGAGTTTCATTCCTTTATATTTTTTCTAACGACTATCACAAAGAATGATCTAAATAATATAAGTCAGTTCTAAATATAAGTTTACTGACTGATAAAAGATCAACTGCCAAAGCTTTTATACATTCACATTCTTGTTAGAGTAATCCTAATCACCCCTCCAGTTCTCACTGATATTTGGTTGAGGGCTTTGCTAGAAATGTGCTTCTCAATCAAATCTATGCTAGGCACCAAGAATATATCTTGGCAGTCCTTATCAGAAGTGCTCATTCTATGCAGATGACTAGCACAGAGGCTCAGCCCTTTGCACTCCAGGATCTTACCATCTAGTTGGTAATACATAACATATATGTGTACACATATATATAAATAATTTGAAAAAGACAAAGACCATTAACAAAACAATAAAATGAATGGAAATTAACAGTGTAAATAACATATAAGTGTTGATACAGGACACAAATTCAGAACTATTAAAAATAAGCAATGCTTACAAAGAAATGTCAAAAGGTAGTTGTTTAGCAAAACAAAATTATAGGTGTTTTAGTCATTTTTTTAAAAATCCCATGATTGAGAAGAAAAGGTTAAGAAGACATCCTGTATCAAAACAAACAAAATCCCCAAAGCAGCTTACAGTAATGTCCAGGATGGGGTGGCATAGGTGGATGATGCTGAAGATGACCATTTTGGTGGTGAGGTATATTAGGCGTATATGCTGTAGTTCTACTTCCAGTCCAGGTGGTAGTACTGTCTAAAAATTAAGATCCAAAGGGATTAGTTTAGATACTACCTATTTTCTCAAGAATCTGAGAGTTTTAAAGAACAGTAACAACCATGTACATACTATGATGGTAAGTAGCTGGTTGAGCAGTAAATCCATTCTGCTGCTGTCCCGGCTGAGGTCCTGAAGCTATCTGCAAAAGTCCTTCACTATGGCTGCCTGTCAATATACTGGTAGGTTGACCTGGAGAAACAACAATTTTTATGTTTACAAAATAAAAAATGATTTGTATCACTGATTTTCTATATTGGATAAAAGACCTACTTTTAACACTATAATTCATCTGCTCTTTCAGGATACAAAAAAGTTCTACTAATCACCACTATAAAAAATAGGCAGAGAAAACCCCTAGAAATCAACTCTTGTTTTGGCTATTTAATAAAAGAACAAAAATCTGAAATAATCCATAAGTAAAACAATTTCTTGTGTCTGAAGTAGGATAAAAAAGATAGTTTTATATTACATAACATCTGGAATAACTTATGGTGGCCTATTTATTTAGAATGCTTAAAAATAAAAAAGCTATTACTATAGTCCAAATGCCATAAAAATCCTCCCAGTCCCTCTGTTATCCACCGTACCTGATCCATTTTGATAACCCCTCTAGAAGCTCTCCAGCTTGCTCCTTGATCCACACCTGGCCTTCTGTTCCAGTTTCCTCAGGACTCTTCTGAATAGAACTCCAAAGTCCCAGGACCAAGAAAACTATGTACTGAGTTGCCAATTTTCCACTTTGAAAACTGACAAATTAACTCTTCTAAAATTCTGATTTTGCTTTCTGTTTCTGGTTGGGTAAACTATGAAAGAATATTAGGAGGATTAAATATTCTGCTGGTACCAGATTAATGGTAATGGCATAGTTTGAGGCTAGCACTAAAGTTGCAGAATAGAAACTAGGGGCAAGTGGGAAGAGAAATTGAGCTAGAGGGAAAAAGCTAAGCTGTTGGAGTTGGTGGACTTAGAGCTGCTAAGAAGCTGGAGCAAGGTTTTGGAGAGAGATAAGGAGAAGAACTATTTCTAATGGGAGATAAGGAAACATACAGAGAAAAAAAGATCAAGATTATGAATCACAGCTTACTCTCCTACCAAGGGATTGCTAACAGCAGTTGCTGTTTAACTACACAACTAAGTCTGACTACACCAGACTATTTTAATGACTGATATGAGCATTTAAAAGTGAAAAAAAGAAACACCTTTTTAATTTCATTCATTTCCAGGAATTTTACTGTGTTTCTGGGCTTAAAACAGTCCAATAATAAAAAGATAATTGTACTTTTCTGTGTCCATTTCTGAAAATAAGTCATTTCCAGTACAGGTATTTTTCTACCCTAAAGAACCTCACCCTAAATATTTTAATCTAGACAATGGAAGTTATAATGCTGAAGAACAACGCCTACCAAGATTTTACCTTTCCTTGCCACCAAAAGAATGTACCAGTGGTTAAGTGGTTTCTCTAAAAGGAAGAAGGGGAATGCCCTCCCCAACAAGAATGTCCTCCTCAGTAAAATACAATGTTAACCTAAGAGTCTGCTTTTTACATTGAAATTTACTATCTAGTTTATTAAAAGGTTTAAAAAAGGACTGTCTTTGAACCACACATAGTATACACATAGTACTAGTAACTTTGGGGGGGGGGGGACTAGCAAAAAAAGATATAAAACGGCTCAAAATTTGAATCAAGAAAAAAACCTACTATTCATATTTGAGAAGCACTTTAATTTTTATAATTTCCTTACCCTCTAGTGTTTTCTACTCAACTAAATCGATGTTCTGTGCAGATGGAGAAAATGAAAGGCTCTATTGTTCAAGTGTCAAATCACAGAATATTCTCCCTCCCCATGCCACAAACAACATTCCCTCAATCTCAAGTGATTAAATTCAAAAGGTAAAAAGAGGAAAATATTCTTCCTATAAAATGAAATAATATCACATTTTAACAATCTGAACAAAAAATAAAACTCAATGTGAAGTTTTTATATCCAGCTAGGCAAAGAAGCTACGTTGTTCCCTCCCAAAGCTCAATTCTTCACCTATTCCCATTAGAAAGAAGAGTATGTAACAATAATAACATTAACTGAAGTTCACTTGATATTTAGAAGAAACTGAAATGCTTAAAAAGTTTATGTTCAAATAATTAGTAAAACTTTCTCTACTGCTTGTTGTCTGGAACTTTAATTTTACATTATTTTTAGGCATATGAAAGAGATAATTTTTTCCCTATTTCCTGATTTATTTACTTATAAGTTCTGTCAAAATACCTTTTGTCTTAAGACCCACATGAGTATTTTCTTCATCCCTTATTTGCTATAATTCCTAGAATTTTTCTCTTAATATAATTCAACAATTCAATTATGAAGCAAGTGGTTTCAGGGAAAAAAACTATTTAAAAAAAGTTTAAGTCAGCAAAAGTAACTATTTCTCAAATACTGAATTTTTGTAGTCCTCAACTAGGACCAAACTGCTCCACATCTGAGTTTTTTAATGTTCTAGTAATTATAAGTGTAAGGCAAACTTCAATGACCTCCTGGAAAGCAAGGACTGCTTTTTGCCTTTCTTATATCCCCAGTTTTTAGCACAGTGCCTGATACATAGTAGGGGATTAATAAATGCTAGTTGACTGACAATAACTAATTCAACTTGCAGATTTTCTGAATTAGAGCAGATTCCAAGTGGAGGCAGAATAAGGGAAACTACACAATAAATACTGCTTTTAAAAACATTAGTGCTATTATTCCTTCAATATATAGCAACCCCACTATATAAACGAAATAGTAGACTTGCTAAAGAAGGAAATTCAGTGTTACCTGAAAACTCAGGATAGCATTTTAGCACCTTATTAATTCCAAAGATCAATTTTTTTTTATCCTGAATGGGTAAATTGCTGCTATGAGCAATGACAGAATCACACTCCTGACCAGATGATGGCCTCTAACAAAGGGACACATACTATGTTTAGATGATGTACTCTTCTTGGCTCTCCACCTGCCTAGCAGCAAACCACTGCTGGCATACAAAGAGTAGTGATCACTGCAGAGCAGTGATAATATAAATATAACTTAAATTGCTGTGGCCATGCCCTTGGTAATAGGTTAGTCCCATAAATTCCATCATCATTTATCATTTCCCATTAAGACAGAATTAGTATAGGTATAGAATTATATATATAAAGAATTTCGTTTTACATTCAATTTCACTAGAATATAACCTATAGAGGAGGTATCTTTATTTCACACATCTGTCAAAATCATCTAGGTTTTTCTCAATTGTGTTTTTTAGGGAGAGCTGAGATCCCCGTTAATATATATTACTGAGTAATCATGATTTTTCCAAAATAATAATAGAAAGTAAATTAGATCACTGGATTAGTTCAATGTTACTATTTCTATCATCATAAATAACACCAAAACAGTTAACAACTTTGAACAGTAAAAAATGTTCTTTAAAAGAACAAATGTTTAAAATTCTGAGACTTCTAAATATCTTGCCTACAACATTATATATTATATTAACAGGGTCATTAACACAAAGCTATAATTCAATATTCAAATCTCAAATATAATCCCACTAATATTTATAAATATCTTTGGCTATATTACAAATTTTAATTTATTTTCCAGGATCAATCTATAGACTAATGAACACTTGTTAGGTGGGTAAGTACCTACTAAGGATACCATGGCAATTCTTTCATTTTAGTGTCTTGGACTTCACATGGAAAATCTGATTACATGAAAATGGTCTAATTTAGGTGATTTTTATTTGCTGATTCGTCATTTTGTATATCACTCACTTGTGGAAGCCACAGGAATGTTGGGAAAGTTAGTGGTGCTGGTAGTGTTAGACTCAGACGGAGCTAACATGGCTGGGTTGGTGTATGTCTCTGAAGATGCACGGTTACTTGGTGGATGCTGTATGGTTTGAATTGAATGTCCTTCAGTGGACAATGATGGCTGTCCCTCAAAGTCATGAACATACTCGTCCTTCACCAACATACTTGATGGAGCTGTATTAAAAGTTAAACAAATTTAAAATCTTATCAAAATAAAATAGTGTAGTAAGCATTAAAAAAAAAAAAAACTATTAAATTCCTGTGGTGAAAACCCTAATCCCAATTAAGAACCATCTTAACCTCAGGGGAGATTACTTATTTAATTATTACTTATTTCTTTGAATATGGGAAGGCATCAGTTAACACCAATGTATAGACTACCTGATCTGTGGGATACCCTGAAGCTTCTTATTGTCTCAAAGTATGTTACTGTAAGCTGTGATCTAGCACTACAAAGATAAATACCATTAAAGCAACTTTCAGATACCTGAGCAACAAAAGAAAACTAGAATTTAACTAATTAATTGACTTGCAACTACCATCATAAGAATAATATGTTTAATTGTTATAATGACACGAGGCAAAGTTTGGGAAAACATGTTTTCTTCTTCTAACTGCAAAGCCAAATGTTTCAAGTCACATCTAGGAAGAGAAATGTATAATTATAACACTTTGCTTTATTATTTAGTGGAGAAGACAGGTAATGTTAACTCCTGATATCTGTAACGTCAAATAAAGTTATAGATGAGTACCATTTTTTTCTCTAAACCTAAAGAGCTTCAGATATCACTACTGCTGGGGTGTGCTACAGCCAGAGCCATTGAGCCAAACGTTAAATTTTCAATGTGAGCGTTTACATCTAGGAAATGCTACAAATCAGGGCTTGATTTATTGTGCTGTTAATTGTTCAGACTTAAGAAGTGATAAAGAATTTGTTAATAATGCAGACTAAACTTAAATGTGGTACTTACTTTGAAGAACCAGTTATTAAATATTTACCAGCACACCCTCTGGGAATCATATAGCCCTATGTAATAGAGAGGTCAAACCAATACTTCTTCCCAGAAGCTAGATAAAAACACGATAAACTTATGATATTATGAACAATTCAATGAAAAACAGCTCCCTGGATGTTCTTTTTTAAAAAATGGAGCTAAATGGGCTATGTGGTTTTTGAATCTTTAGATTCAAATTCAGATTTTCCCACACAAATTCAGATTTTTAAAATTTTTCTTTTAAGATGTAAATTTGTCTCACTTTTCCAAATCAAGAATTTTCTCCACACTAAAACCTAAGAAAGAAAGGAATGGGAATCTGTATCAGGGAAAAGATCACACAGGAGATCAAAGGATACTGTGAGGGGTGGCAGGTCTGGATGAATTACTACTATAGAAGACAAAGTATACCCACAGTTGCACTGTCACAATTTTAAGAGGAGCACTGAATGAACTTTTCTTGGTTTAACAAAACTAAAGTAGGAGAGCATCTCAAATCTGTCATGTCTTCACCAGATTTCCCCTTTGATAATTATAAATGTCACTTAGGTATATTAAAACTACACACAGGCACTAGTGATTCAGCTAGATAGTACTGCTGAAGCAAGTCATCCAATGAATCTCATTGGAGAAGCTAAATGGAATGGTCTTTAAATGTCTTTGTTCAGGTCTGAAAGATTTATGTGTTCTGTGAGGAAAGTAGACACAGAAGGCAACATTTAGAGGACCAACACTAGAGGGAGGCAAAGTACAATATACCATGAATAACTCAAGAGATACCCAAAAGCTTCTTGTTCCACAAACGAAAAAAAAAAAACAAACAAATTGATGAGTGATGTCTATGTCCTTCCACTCACTATCATCATACACACCATGGTGGTGGGTAGGGGGTAGATCTGAAAAGTCTAAGGCATATAACCTCAAAGGTATTAAAGTCCTACATTGCATCTACAATGGGTGACATGGTAGATGGTTGGCTCCCGTTGAGTAAGGAAGGCAGAAGGAGTTTTTTTTTTAAGAAAATACAAAGATAAAATGCTTAGAGAGGCAGACCAGTGTAAGTAAACTTTGGTATTAGCAAGACCTGGCTTCAAGTTTTGCCTTCGACACATACTAGCTATGTGAAGATGGTCAAGTTACTTAAATTCAATGTCCCCAGGCAACTCATAAATTACAGATGACTTGCCCACCAACAAAGGGAAAGGAAGTTTCCACATCCGGAGTTCTCTGCACCAGAAAAATCAAAGGTACAGGTCTCCCCACCAAAAGACAATCATTCACTTACACAGCACATTAAGGATTTTAAAGTACTTTTCCCCTCTCACAACAATTCTATGAGGTAAGGTAGTATATGTTATTTCATCATTTGATAATGAGGAAGTGGAGACTCCGAAAAGCAAAACACAGCTAGTAAATGGCAGGAAGGTCTTTAAATCACTTCTGATTCCAACTCCAGATTCCTCCCTTTTCACGAGAGATAACACTGAGCCACCATCAGGACACCATAAGGTTCTGAATTACCCATACTTGCCCAATCTTTCCTACAATAACAAAACACATTTGTAAAATGAACGAATCAAAAAGCAATTACTTACAATATGCTGGGAATTGCACTAAGTGATATAAGTGCTTCTGGGGGGAGAAGTATAATCCTCATGGATAGAGAAGTTTATTTGTGCAAATTTAACTGACTCATCATTAGCAACAAGCTCAAAAGCAACCAAACTTCAGTTCTTAAAGCAAAACTCACTTGCCAATCATAACAATGACTCAGTGATTCATTCTATAGCCCTAGGACTATAGCCCTATAGCTCATCCATGTTTCAATTTTCCTACCTTCAGATAGGGTATGCTGGTAAAGGTCTCTAAAAAAGAAAAATGTGCCCAGGATGCATTTTTAAGTTTAATCAGCCTTATTACCATTTTCCTAAGTCTAGACACTCAACAAAACAATAAATCAAGCCCTGGTTTGTAGTTTGTGGATTTCACAGATATAAATGCTCATACTGAAAATTTGACAATCTTCTCTCTGGAACCTGTTCCACATGGCTCTAGCACACCTCTGCCTAAAATAGCTATTTTTAACTTGTTTTTTTTTTTTTAAACAAACTAAAAAAAAATCACAGCCCCTAAGACAATAATTATAGACAACCCAAGTAATTTTGTGATTAACCTTCTTGATTAACAATAGCTTTTTCTAAAGCAGGGTAAGTACTGATAAAATGTTTGATTTTAATTAAAATTTTAAATCAAATATGGTAATGAAAATATTACCTGTTATTTTGGAAAACAGAAGCTAAGACATCAATATTATAGCTATTTCTAAGTGATTTCTAAGAATGCAATACTCTAGTTGTTTTTTATTGGAAAACCAGTTATTCCCCCCTTAAAACTACTACTTCAGAGTTCTTCGAAGAGTAGTATTGTGACATTCCTTTTAATTCATTAAACTTCAATCCTAAAATCCACTTTCCGTTTGTCTAATAATATCTACGTGCAACTTCTGTCATACTGCCTTAGAGTATTTTTGTATAGGTTCTCAACACTGGTAAGTGATTAAGGATAATTCAAACTCAGATGACAAACAGATAATTTTAAATGGTTCAACCCTTTTTTTTTCTCAACTGATGCATCCAAAATAAATTTAAAGAGTAGGTTCCTGTTAATATTATTAACCAAACAATCTAATGCCAAGCTAGAGGAAAATACAGAAAGTAGAGATAATTATTAAAAACAGATTACCTACCAGAACTTTGCAGTGTCAATCCTGAGAGATCTTAATTTGAGAAGGGGAGATGACAGTAGAAGGGAAAAAAGGGAAAAAAAGATGTTATCACCACAGAATCAGACAGTAAATTTAAAAACCCATAATCATGTATTACAATACCAAAACTGAATACCAAACACATATTCAACTACAAATACAATAAGACAATCTTATTTTGAAAAAAAGTTTTAAAAATTTTGAATAACAACATGGATTCATTTGAATTAACTAAACATTACATAAGAACTTTTTTTTGATTCACAACTAAGATAGCTTTAACTTTATAATCATTAACTTAATTAAAAAGAACTATGCTCTTAAATCTTTTGATAAATAGTTCCATTAGTAAAGGATTAGTCTACCTACCAATGCCAGGTGATACAACTCTTTCATAATGATATGGATTCACACAGACACTATCACATTTTAGGTCAAAAGCATACTGACAGTACTTCACATGTTTAAGTTCATTTTTGTGAAGATCAGGCCACCTCCAGAGACGAGCATATATAACATGAGGGAAACCTTTCCGACCAGCCACCTAGAAAGTTTTAAAATAAGATAATTTAAAAATGTGCAACATAAATGTAAATTCTGAAACTGTCTAAAGTACTGAAATACAAATTCAAGAAGATAATAGATTCCATAATGCTCCCAGAGAAATTTTAGGCTTCAAAGACTGGCTATGATTGTCTACCTATAAAATATGAATGGTAAACAATTCACTGAATGGCAACCAGAGACCATGACATAAAAATATCTAATTTTATTATCTAATGAAATAAACTATTTATAAAAACATCTAAGTCCATGATATAAACTCAATATTAAAATCTTTAGTCTATAAGTTAGAGGAGGGAAAAGTTTTCTAGTTTTCAATATAATGCAAATGCTAGATGCATGTCTTTTTATTAAACTAACATTCTAAGATATTAAGATACACAGTAAAGAAAAACAAGTTGCTTTTACTAAAAAAACATTTTAAATTAGGTTTAATTCATAGTATTAAAGTATCTTCTTAGTCTTTCAGTGGAACAGTATTTGAAACAGGAGAATCAAACAATTTATTCTACAGTAACAAATACATCTTAGAAAGAACTTATACTAAGAAAACAAAGCATCAACAGGAATAGAAAATCAATCATCCTAAAAGACAAGAGTAAGGTTGTAGGTTAGGTTGCAGCTAGACTAACCTGAAGCCTGCCATCCAATGTCCTCTGTATCGTGACACATTTGCTAGGATGGGCGCCATTTGTAGTTATAGCTGTTATTAAAGAATCCAATTCATCCTTCTTTTCCTTCAGCTTCTTTACCAAACTTTCAATTGCTCTTTTTGCAAATGTTTCACTTTCTCCACCTTGTCTATGGCACATCAAACTATGAACAATGCTCAGACAGGCATCATTACTTGTGGGTGTGTTAGTAATAGACATATTGTCCATTTGTTACCGTTTTTTCTTTTGAATCAAATAAGTCCAAAATTCCTAAAGCAATTTTGATAGTGTTCAGGCAGCAAGGAACAAATCCTAATGCTACCCACAGGCAGAACAGTTACAGACATGTGATATGCAGGATAACCTAGGAAAAACATGAGAGAGAATAAGAGAGATTAGTAAAGCTGATTTTGTTTGTTTTTAACCAAGTATACTGTAAGGGTGAAGCATAAATAAAGTTCAAGTTCAACTCCCAATTCAGATCTTATAAAATTTGGGGGTTTCATTTAGATGAAAGACCATTAGACTATAATTCTAATGTCCTGCTGTTTTTAAAATAATATGTTTAAATATCAGAAAGCCAACAATGTCAAGGAGTTACTACAAATTAACTGTATAACTTATTCAGTTAGTCTTTTGCAGGGGTTGGGTAAACTTTAAGTTCATAATAAAAAAATTAAATAAAATATGACTCAAGAACAAAGATTAAATTCAATCATTTTAAAGTCATTAAAATAAGGTTAATAATAACTGGAAGTGCAGGATTTAAACATATTCCAAATAATCAACCATTCAATACCCTTTAAAGACGATTTATACCCCAAGGAAGCTATTGGTGAAAAGAAAAATCCCATATGCTCCAAAATATTTATAGCAGCATTTGTTATAATATCTAAGAACTGGAAACTAAGTAGATGCCCATCAATTGGGCAATGGCAAAACAAATTGAGGTACCTGAATGTAATGGGAGTATTATCATGCTATAAGAAATTATGTGTGTGATGGATACAAAGAAGCATGGAAAGGCCTATATGAACTGATCATGTAAGCAGAGCCAAGAAAACAATATCTATAGTAACTACAATAATGTAAATGAAAAGAACTACCCACCCGAAAGTTAAAAATAAATGTAACAAAATTATAAAGATCCAGTAGGATTCAAATTGCGATAGTAGAGGACACACCCACCCATACCTTCTATCCACAGGTGTTAAACATCACACGTTTTCAAAATTTTTCAATGTATTGATTAGTGCTTCTTTCTCGCTAAAAAATACAATTTATTACAGGGGATAGCTCCCTGGGAGGGAAAGGGGGATGAATACTTGGGAAAACTATGATGATGTAAACTTATTTTTAAAAAAGAAAAAAAAAAGATAATCAACCACTCGGCACAAGTTTATCATTTATTTCTGCTTGTCTTAAATCAAAAGGGAAATTTCACCAGGAAATAAAATTAACTATCACCATACCCATGGTGCAAAGTACTGTTTACTAGCTATCAATATAATAACCATTTCAAAGGGAAAAAAATCCCAAATTCTTCAAAAGTTCATTTACAAAGAACAAGGGCACGCGCACACACGCACACGCACACACACACACACACGCACACACATTTTGACCTTTGTGCTCTGTGCTTATAGTAATACAGAACACAGTCCCTCAAGCTCTGTTAGTTACCACTGATAATAATTATAGGCTTTCCTCTTATTCTTTTGGTATCTAAAAAGTAACAATGTTATTACTTGGATTGTCCATTTGTTTTCTTTCATTCTTACTATATGACTGTTCTTTTTATCGGCATACATTGACTTTAGGATGCCATTTACCTCCTCTTAAATAATTCTGGACCTAGATCATTACTCATATCTAGTACTTCTCTCAAATAGACAGACATAAGATATATGGATTAATGTAATGGGACATATATCTAGCACAAATCTTCTATATTATTACAACTTTCTGAAGAGCCATGTTCCAAGGCTCCAGGAAATTATTAAGACCTCATCTGTAAAGAATAACAATTGAAGAGTATCACCATCCTTTGTTTGGAATTTGTATAAGACACCTTACCAAGACATTAACCAAATAGATGTGGTGAACACATTTCCACATTGTTTAACATTTTGTCTAAATGTCAATACTTAGTGGAACAAAGTACTATCTGTAGAAATATCCATTATGGAGACTTGTACAACTTTGGCTCAAGAGACACCTTGTTGGAGCAAAGTCTTTAAAGCATCATTTTACTCTAAGCCAAATGCTTTCTCAAGATCAATAAAGAAACACAATGGAAACTATTTATCAGTTATGTCACCATAAACATTATGATCTGCTGAGAAATATCAACTGCAAAACCTTCCCAGACTCTGTCGCTTGTCTTTAGTGACAATGGCTTCAATGGATGGAGGGCCCACTTAATATTTTAGAGAAATGAGACAGCAGGCATACAGGTATGATGCAAAAATATGGGCTGCTTCTTGATAGCATTTTAAAAATGTCTGGTGAACAAACTGTCATGATCTTCCCCCTTCCTTCACCTTTCAGATCTTCCTCATCATATGCGTTTTAAATTGTGGCACCTCCACAGTATCCACTTGCCAGCTTCACCTTCTCATGAGTTATTTCCACTTCAGTCACATAACCACCACTATACCTGAAACATGTGTCCAAATATGGTGGTTTTACTATTGTTACTGATAGAAAAGGTCACTGAAAAATGCTGGCAGTTCGGTTGTATTACAGATGTTACCATATTCATTTCAGCTATTATGGCACTCAGGATGACCAAGCTTAGCTATCCCAGTTCTATGCTTGTTCATTTTCTCAATTGTTTTTAATAATAATATCTAGCACTTATATAGTGCTTTAAGGTTTGCAAAACACTTTGCAAATACCATCTTGTTTTATCCTTACAATCCTGGGAGGCATTACAGATGAAAAAACTGAGGCAGATTTGCCCAGGGCCACACAGCTACTAAGTAACTGAGGCTGGATCTGATCTTAGGTCTTCCTGGCTCTAGGTACAACACTCTATCAACTGCACCACCTAGCTTACTCTACACAAAATCATACTTTTTTACCATTCCATGAGACAAAATACTCATAGTACTTAGTAGTCATGTAGTCCAACTAAGTTTTATATAAGTTTGAAAAAGAGTTTGCCCAAAAGCTGTATAAATAAAAATAAATACAAACACTGGCCCTGAAAAAGAATCAACCAAAGAGCATTTATTAAGTTCCTACTGTGTGTGTGCCAGGCACCATGTAAATACTGGAGATCCAAAGAGAGGAAAAAAGACCAATCTCAGCACAAGGAGCTTTTTGTTTTGTTTATTTTTGTTTTGTATTTCCCATCCCTTAAAGAGAGTTAAATGTAACCAATATTGTGTACCTGTGGACATATGCAACATTCCCCGTTCAAAGTTCTCCACCATTCCAATAAAAAAGGGTGACAAACAGTCCACGAGGGGAGATAACATGCAAACAAATTACATACAAATAAGAGAGAGATGGGATAAACTGGAAATAAATCAACAGAGGGGAGGAGGCATTAGCATTAAGGAGGAAGGAAGACTTCTTACAAAAGGTGAGATTTTAGCTGGGACTTGAAGGAAGCCATGAAACACAGATGAGGAAGGAGAATTCTACGCATGGAGGATAGCCGGTGAAAATGCTCAGCTGTGTTCAAGGTGTCACTGGATCAAAGAATACATTGGGGGAGGAGGTACACATGTGGCAGTATTGAATAAGAAGACTGGAGGGGAATAGGTTATATAAAGAGCTTTGAGTGCCAGAGGATTTTATATTTAATTCTGGAAGTGAGAATGGGAACCACTGGAATTTACTGAAAAGGGACATGATATGGTCCAGACCAGTGCTATAGGAAGATCACTTTGACAGCTGAGAGGCAAATGGACTGGAATGTGGAGAGACTTGAGGAATAAACACCAACAAAGTTGTTGCCATAGAGATGAGAATATATGTATCACACTTTTTCATGGGAGTAGTGGGAAGATTTTGGATATGTAAAGTTGCATCAAATATGTTATCTGACTATGCTTAACTTTTATTTTTTAAAAAATTTTATTCATAGTGGCATCGAGGTGGCACAGTGGATAGAGCACGGGCCCTGAAATCAGGAGTACCTGAGTTCAAATCCGGCCTCAGACCAAACACTTGACACTTACTAGCTGTGTGACCCTGGGCAAGTCACTTAACCCCAATTGCTTAAAAACAAAAAACAAAAACAAAAAAAAAATTTTATTCATTTTGAACTTAAATACAAAAAGACAAAAAATTTCCATGTACACAGCACAATAAAGAGGATTCGATATAAAACCATGAATTTTCATTTTAGTTTGTTTTTTTGAAAAACTATATGTAATAAATATTACACATTTTCAAAGCTATCCTGTTTTTCTGTGCTTCCTTCTAAGTTTTCTTTTGTTCTCCACTGTGCACTTCTTTTTTTTCTCCCTCTCCCCACCCTGCCCTAGAGAATGCTATCATTAGACACAAATGTGTGTGCATAAACCATACTATTCATATTTCTATTTGTCAGTTCTTTCTCTGGATATGGATAGCATCTTCCTTCATAGGTCCTTTGCAGTTGATCTGAATACTTACAACACTCAAAACGACTTATTCAAAGTTGTTCTTAGAACAATGTTGTTATTGTGTACAACATTCTCTTGGTTCTGCTTATTTCGTTCTTCAGTATTTCATGCAAGTCTTTTCATGTTTTTCTAAAATCAACCAGCTCATCATTTCCTATAGCACAGTAGTATTCCATCACAATCCTACACCACGCTTTGTTTAGCTATTCCCCAATCAATGGTCATCCCCTCAATTTCCAGTTCTTTGCCACCACAAGGAAAGCTACTATAAATATTTTAGAAAGTAATAAATCCTTTCTCCGTTTCCCTTGGCAAACAGACTAATAGTGGCATTGTTGGATCAAAGGGTACACACAGTTTTATAACTCTTTGGGCGTAATTCCAGATCGCTCTCCAAAATGGTTGGATTAGTGCACAGTTCCACCAACAGTGTAGTGTCTTAATTTTTCCACATCCCCTCCAACATGTCACTTTTCCCCTCTATCATTTTAGCCAAACTGTTAAGTCTAAAATGACATATCAAAGTTATTTTAATTTGCATTTCTCTAATCAATTGTGATTTAGAGCATTTTTTTTCATATGACTATAGTTTTGATTTCTTCATCAAAAAACTTCCTGTTCACATCTTTTGACTATCAATTGGGGAATGACTCATATTCTTATACATCTGAAAAAAATTTTTACATACTAAAGATATGAAACCTATATCTGAGAGACTATAAAATTTTTCTCCCAATTTTCTGTTTTTCTTCTAATCCTGGCTACACTGATTTCATTTGTCCAAAAAACTTTTTAAAGTAATTGAAATTATACATTTTACACCTCACAATGCTCTCTATCTGTTGCTTGTTCACAAATTGTTCAATCCATAAGTCTGATAAGTAATGTGTTCTAATTTTCTTATATCTCCCTTTATATCTAGGTTATGTATTCATTTTGATTTAACTCTTTTTCTTTAGGGGATAGGAAATATATGGAAATGATTCAAGTAAAAAAAAGTATCAATAAAACTTAAAAGAAATTACAAGAAAGGGAGTTTTTGTTCTAAATCATCATCCTTAACTATTTGCTAAGCAAGAATATTAAACATTTTTTGGTTAAGGCAGTTTTCCAGAAATTTCGGCCTCACTACGACAATTCTTTTGCATAAATTTCTCTTAGAAATGTAGAAGAGTTAATCAATTCCATTCTACTCATTCCCAATATTTCACCTTCAAAACCTTATTTAACCAGGTCTGTGCTAGAGTTCAGTGACTTCTCTTTTTATCGTTTATTTTTTTTCTAGTGCAGCATTATTACTCTGACCTTTGCTACATGAGTTGCTGTACGTAAACAATATGTTCCATGGGCCCTGGAGTCAGAAGGACCTGAGTTCAAATCCAGCCTTGGACACTTGACACTTACAAGGTGTGTGACCCTGGGCAGGTCACTTAACCTCATTGCCTAGCAAAAAATAGAAACAAAAATAAATAAATAAATAATATGTTCCAAAATGATGGCTACATCCACAGCTTGTTACTTCTTGCCTTCTCGGGATATAGACGATTTGATTTTTTGTCACTAGATGCTCCACATTCTCAGTTACTTACATCTCTTCTGGGAGAAAGCATAACACAAAAGCATAGAGTTTCACAGTAATTGACAGGCCTTTAGTCACTTTCTTATATCTTAAACAAACATCATTTTACAGAATTTTTGCCATCTTCCACTACACCCACTTTCAAGCTGAAGTCAAAATACATGTTGACTTAATTTGGAGAATCCAATTTAGTTCTTCATATAAGTATTCTACCTTAACATACTTCTGCATTATCCCCAACAAATGTTGGCAGTTAAAACAACAACAATTAAATATCTCAACAGTAGCCTGATTATGATCATTTTAAGGACTGCAAGATGTGATGAATTGCCCCAAGAGATATATCTTACCTTTGGGTATATAATGAAACCACTTATGCCAATTCATTTGATACTCTGAAGAGAATTTCTAAGCTATACTTTACCTGAGACATGGCTTAGGTGTCTTTTAACTTTACTTATAACATAATGTCGAAATAGACTTGTCAGCAAAAATGAGTTCAAGCCCCACCTCTGAACAATGCTGGCTATTAGAAGAGGTGGGGAACCTGTGGGCTTCCAGGCCACATGTTGCCCTCTAGGTTCTCAAGTGTGACTCTTTAACAGAATCCAAACTTCACAGAGCAAACCCCTTAATAAAAGGATTTGTTCTGTAAAAAAATTTGGACTCAGTCAAAAAGTCAAAAAAGCCAAGGACTGTCCTAGGCAAATAAGATTAACGCTATAAATTGCTGAGTGCAAATGTTCATTGGTAGAGTGAAATGTCCTTACTGGGAGTTTAATCAATGAAATAACAGATCCAGACCAAAAAAAAAAAAAAAAGAATATCTTGATTCTAAGTACTCTGTTCTCTATAACGAAGGACACACTTTTTTTTTGAAAAAACAAAATATATGATAACCAATATTTTAAGAATTAGTCATTACATCTATGGCACTATTCTGGATTTTGTGAAGACTCAAGACAATCCTTGCTCTCAAAGGCCCAACACTCCTAGGGGAAAACAAGGTCAACACTAATTTCCTCATCTATAGAAGAACTGGATTAATGACTTCTAAGATCCCTTTCCAATTTTGACATCATATGATTCTCTCATCACTGAGGAGTCAATAAGAATGTCAATGGTAAGGAAGAATTATTAACTAATTCATGAGCTGTTTCTGTTTCTAAGTCTGTATTCATAAATGACTCTCCAAATGCTTTAATTTTTAAATGACCCTAAGAAAAAATATATTTTGTCTGAATTTTATATGTCATATATTTTAAAGGCACTGAGGAATAAATAAGAAGTAGAATGCTTAATTTCATCTTTTATAATTACAGGTGGGAGAAAAATTCATAACCAAAGAACAGAGGAAAATTATAAAAGATAAAACAGAACTTTAAATACCTTAAGTTATATACAATTAAAACTGGGAAAAGCTTCGCAAAGTCTTGAATAAATCAGATGTAAAAAAATCTATAGGAAATTGACACAATCTGAGAAGTATAAGATTTGTACCTCAATTAATTAGTGGTAAATTATATGAACAGCTTTCAAATGAAGAACTACAATCAACAAATGTAAAAGTGCTTCACATCACTAATACTCTATCTCTCTTCCCTTTCATAGCCAAACTCTTTGAAAAAGTCATATTCACTAGTTGCCTCCACTTCCTCTCCTCAGACTCTCTTCTACTAAAACCACTGCAATTTGGCTTCCAACCTCTTTACTCAAATGAAACTAATGAATTCCAAATAACCAATGATCTTTTATTTGCCCAATACAATGGCCTCTTTTAAATTTTCATAATTCTTGACTTTGAGGGTGATCATTCTTTTTCCTCCTAGCTACACTCTGCTATCTAGATTTGTGTGACACTGTTCTTGCTTGATTCTCCTACCTGACTGACTGCTTGCTGTTACTTTCCTTTGCTGGAACTTCAACCATATTATCCCTTTAATTGTGAGTGTATGTCCAAATAAATAGTTGTCCTTCATCCCTCTTCTCTTTGTATACTTTTCTCAAGTATTCAATTATTTCAATAGATTAATTACCAATGCAGATTACTCCCAGATCTATATATCTACTTTAGTCTTTCTCATGCATTTAAGTGCCAAAGCATTAACTGCCTACTGAATGAACATTTGGGAATTAAGTGTTCCATAGGCCTCTTAAACTTAAATATGTCCAAAACAGAATTCATTACCTTTACCTTCAAAATCCAAGCCACTTCTAAACTGTCCCACTTCTGTTGTGAGTACCACCACAGTGAGAAGCTCTCAACATTATTCACTGTCTTTTCAGACCCACAGTCACTTCTTATTTGGACTACCATTCCAAAAGTCTGCTAATTGGTTTCCCATCTTCATCTTCCCCCTCTCCAATCCATCCTCCACAAAGCTACCGAAAAGTAATTTTCCTGAAGCACGACCTGCTGAAAAATTTCCCAGTAGCTCCCTATTACCTCTAATATCAAATACAAATCCCTCTGTTTTCCATTTACAGCCCTTCATAATCTGGTCACAACCTACCTTACTATATATATATCACTCTTTCTCCCACAAGAACTTTATAGTCCAAATAAACTGACTTCCTTGATGTTTTTTGCATGTGACACTTCAGTCTTCCATTTCGGTATTTTTGCAGACTATTCCCCCATCCCTGGAATGCATGCCCTCCTTCTTTCCATCTCTGAGGATACCCAGCTTCCTGCAAATCTCAGCTCAAGAGCTATATCCTATGTTAAATCATTACAAGGGGCCTAATGTCTCTATCAATCACTCAATCAATAAACCTACTATGTGCCAGACACTGTGCTGGAAGAATTACGTTGTATTTGTGCATGTATTTATAAGTGCACATTTTGTTTCCCTCAATACAAAGTAAACTCTTAGAAAGCAGGAAATGTTTCATTTTCATCTTTTTATTCCCAAAATCTAAAATAAACCTCGGCACATGGCAGATGCTTAATAAATGTTTGCTGATTAATAGCAATGAATTTAATCAAACACAACAATAGACAATGTTGGTTCCAGATGACACAGGTTAAAACACAATTCTTTTCTTTCTATTATGACCACCAGTGGCAATATTTTTGCTTAAATAATTTTAGGGAAAGGTGTTATTAAGTTATAACTGATTTTTTTAAATTAGTATTTATATTAGTATTTATTATTATTTATTATTAGTATTTATATTATTTATATATTTATATATTATTTATATAATATATTTAATATAAATGTTTATATTAGTATATTAGTATTTATATTAGTATTTTTTAAATTTGCAAAGCAATTTACAGACAACGTATCATTTGATTTTTCACGATGTCTGAGCAGGTACTAAGGCCCAAGCACCATTTAATGGTTATTTTTGGAGCCCTCCTGGCTCAGAGTGAATGTGAATAGTAACTGTTTCTCTTTTGGTCAGTAATCCTGAGGGTCTTCCCCTCCCAGTTTGAGTTGCTGTTGTTGTTTTTAATTAAAGGGGCCATCTCTTGACTCACTTCTTAAAGAGGCCTTTTCACTGAATGGGTGTTGTCTCACTCCAAGTGAGAATGTGAAAAGACCTTAGCTTAAAAAAGCCAAGATCCACCACTGTATCCTAATCGACATCTGGCCACCGGACCCAGATGGCTCCGGAGGAGAAAGTGAGGCTGGTGACTATGCACAACTCTCCCTCACTCAAATCAAATTCAACTGCAAGTCATGTCATCATCTCCCTGATATCACAGTTCTTGTGACAAATAACACAACAAGAATAATAATAATAATAATAACAGTTAGCATTTTTGTATCACTTTAAGATTTGCAAAGTGCTTTATATATGTTAATTCATTTGAACCTCACAACAACCCTGAGAGGAAGATGCTATCATTATCCCCATTTTATAGATGAGGAAACAGAGACATTAAGTGACTTGCCAAATGTGCTGTAAGAAATAGGACTGAATCCAAGTCTTCCTTACTCCAAGTCTAGCACTCTACTAGTCCTTAGTGGGGAGAACGAGGGGGCCCTTGTGAAGTGATAACCAACTCAAAATACACCTTTTTTAAAAAGGTAAAGTAGCCTTGATTAACAGCCATTTATTACACATTTATGTGTCAGGAACAGTTGCTAAACTCCACATATACAAAGAAGGCAAAAATAGTCTCTACCCTCAAAGAGCTTACATTAGAAAATGGGAGAAACAACATGTAAATAGGCACTTTCAAGATACATACAGAATAGATGAAAAATAACTTAAAAGGGGAAGATTCTAGTCTCTGCAGGTACCAAGAAAGGACTCCTGCAGCACATGGCACTTAAGCTAAATCTTGAAGGAAGTCAATGATTCTAAGAGGTGGAGGTAAGGAAAGAGAATATTTCAGGCATGGGGTACGAGCAGTACAACAAAGGCAGAGACAGGAGATGGTGTGTCTTGAGTATCAGCAAGTAGGCCAGAATTGTAGAGTATGCAGGACAGCAAAATGCTAGAAAGTTAAGAAGAAGCTAGGTTGTGAAGAGTTTTAAATGACAAATGAAAGACTTTAATCCTAAAGATCAGAAGAAGGAATTACTGGAATTTATTAAGGGGAGGTGTGGACAGGGAAACATGGTGAAACCTACAATTTAGAAAATCACTTTGGCAAATGTGTGGAAGATGGATAGGAGATGGGAGAGACATGAGGCACAGAAATCAATTGGAAGGTTATTGCAATAGTCAGGGCTAGAGGTGATGATGACCTAAACCAGAGTAGTAGCTCTGTGACAAGAGAGAAAGTTATATTTTTGAGAGATACTGTGAAAGTAGAAGAAACGACAAGTTCTGAAAATAGATTAGATATGTGGGATCA